TACATGCATAGGCTGAGTATCTGATGCATTGTCCGCGCGACCTTTGCACGTTCGGCGACCTCATGTCCTCCACTCGTGAAGCAGCAATGTAAAAGTGCTAGATTTCCGCGCGCTGGGCCACCCGGTTTCCCGCTGTTTGCAGATTTTTGAACTGAGCTAACGATTCTTTATAAATCAGAATTAGATTAGAATTAGATTACGGTAGGAACTTCTAGGCAGAACCACTGTGGAACAGGCCGTCTAACAAAATTCATTCAAGAAATCTCGAAAATATAGCAGGGTTTTCGCGCACGCTGAGTCCATAATATTTTTTTATGTAGTTCCCGAGCTTTTTTGTAGGTTTAAATTCTGGCGAAAATAGGAAGTTTTTACGCATACCTGATAACTATGAGAAAAGCATGACATTGAAGTCAGCCATTACAGCAAAGTCGTAACTAGAATCGGCGACTTTGATTAGATTAGTATATGGGTTTCTGGCTTGTTTGTTTTGCTCTCTGAGGGTGAACACGCTTCCAATGGTTTGACACTTTCCTCAAACTTTATGCGTTATCCTACAGTAAGAGGATGAGTAATTTACTCCATACTGTAGACCTAAAGAGAAGTTAGCCTACAGAAGTTATATAACCTTCGGATAGAATAGACGTCGGAACAAGAGGTTATCATCGATCACAGTGCGCGCATGTTTTGGGACACCCTGTACCATACTCCTCTTCAAAACTAACGGAACATGCTTTTCGGAAGTGATTGTCGAAGTCAAAAAAGTAAAAACCAGCCTGATCATAGACTCGCTCTTCTAAGCAGATTATAACGTCAAACTCCTTATCCTCATGCTGAAACTTTTGCGGAGCAGGTTTTATGCGCCTGTTTCGATCCAGCATATTCAAAAGACCATTTTGAGTGTAACTGAAAAGACATGTGGAGTTGAATGAACTGGTAGTGAAATCAGGGACCCTGAACACTCACTAAATCGAGTCCTTAGCCTTCAAGTCGTTGTAAATGTACTCATACGTTGCCTTTCCAAATTCATAACAATTCGGTTTGTCCGCAGCAGTTCCAGGAAGTTTCACTTGATTTCCTGAACCATACGATTCTATATTGAAGCCTCGTTTCCTAAACAGGACAACTGATTTCATAGCAGATGAAAACTCTTCACCACTTACTGCATAAAGCTGTGCGCCTCCATACTTCTGTTCATGTTACTAGAGCAACTAACAGCAAATTTCAACTTATCTATGTCCATCCTGCAAGAACCGATTGGTTCAGAAGATATTTTCGAAGGAAAACGCAACAACACGACGAAGCTGTTCTACCAACAGAAAACAGACATGCAGAACATGCAAAGAGCCTGCTAGGCTATTTCCAAACTGATTCCCTATTC